TATATATATATATATATGGTAACAGCCAGGAAAGACTGCACTCCCTGGGGGACAGGGATATACAACAACAGTACAGGGGGAGGTCAGAGCACAAATGCAGATCCAGGACTTCCCCAGCTCTGCGTAACACAATCGTCTATTGGGGGACAACTGCTGTATGGCATTCTCAAAATAAATCAGGCCTTCTGGCTCCTGTTTCCATTGTCCCCAGTAACACAATGCAAAGCTCACTGCTGAAAGGAAACCAAATTTCCATTTGGAGTCTTCCAAGATGGATACTCTGTTTTTATTCTTTACTCCATTACTATTTCTTAGATACTACAGGGTTCTAATCCAAATGTCTCCTTCCTCTTCCCAAGACTTGGGATTTACTGTGACTATTTTCATGTGTTAAGGCCAACTTAAAAGGAGAGTTTAACAAAGCTGTTTTTCTTTTACTCACAAAGTATGAAGGAGCCATCTGTGGAACAGGAAAGGTAAAAATACTTTATCTGGCTACCGGATGCTTTTCTCAGTTCTTCAAAGGACTTGAGTATCAAGTCTTTACTGACAAATTAAAGATCTATCCAGAAACATCAGAGAGAAGAAAGAGCTCTGAAACTCCAGACAGTTGTTACTGCCTGTCTTTTCTCTGTGCACTCACTATAAAGTATGTGGGGTACTATGCCTGAGTAAAGCCAGTGTCAGAAGAGCTGAGTCCCTCATGGCACATGGTGACCTTGAAGAGCACACATGTGAGGTTCCAATGGCGTCTCCCAGGGTGGCTGTGGCTAGCTGACTATCTCTGACTGAGACCTGAGGCCCAATAGTGCCCTTACAAGTTTCGGGAATCCTGTGTAAACTTAGATAGCATGTGTTCTGGAGTTGCTATGGTCAGAGAAACTATGGTTCCTTCACATTTTTAAGGGTACCTAGATTCATACAGGTTAAAGAGCATTGCCTGAGATGAGAAATGTGAGACAGACGTGGGTACTGTCAAGATTCCATTTAAGTCTTTACAATGTCCTGATATTTCCTAAATCACATGCCACATATCTTGAACCTATCTTTGATCAGATTTAAGTGGGAATAAAAAGATTAATGTTTTCCTGGAATTTAAGCACTAAAAAAATCTACATTAATTTTATTTCAAATATGAGCACGAATGATAATTTAACAGGTCCTGTCCTGTAAGGCACCAATCACAGGTTCATTCGTCAGCATCTTTAAGTCTTCTATTTAATATCTAATATTCAATACTAAGATATCATCACTAAGATCTGACATTTGAGTTGCCCCATCACTTAGGAAACATTTGCATGGGATGAACTAGTAAGCTGGTTCCACAAAGCCTGTCACCTTGCCCTGTCTGCAGACTTCTTTCCCAGGGTGGTTCAAAAGCAACTAAGCAAAGATCAGTTCACTTGGCCATTTCCTTAATGTGCTACATTCTCTTGCGCAAATGTGCTTCCCCTCCTGGAATGCCCACAATTCCTTCTCTGCCTGGCAAAATCCTGCTTCCCTGTCTAGGTGGAGGAATGAGGTCCTCTTCCACAGAGTGAAGTTCACTCAGCAGGTTAGAGACATCACCTGCATCATCTGAAACCCTTCTTACTCCGACTGCACTGTCCCACTGTCATGCTTAGGGAAGGCCTCCCCATAGCTTGCTGAACAATCAGGTTTGCTGCCTGCAGATTCTTTTCAATTGTCATTAATTGCTAATCCAATGACAAAGAAGCCCATAATAAGAAGGTCCCAAAGTAAAGATTTTTATCTAATACTCAAAGTTAAAATGGAAAAGGCTACCTAGTGGATTAAACTACAGCTTTGTGGAATTTATATGCTAGACATAATTTTACAAAAGAACAAGTGCTTTTTATTCACAAATAGTATGATGTGGTTAAAGATGTGGACTGAATAAAAGAAAAGTTACTGTGGTCACTCCTGGGACTCTTAACCAAGACAAGGACAGATGTGTCTCAAGGGTTCACCTATGCGACTGGACAACGAGGCCTTTGTTGATGCCCCCTCTCGAGTATAGAAAGCTTCCATCCATTTTTCAGTGTCCTTCTACTCATAATACAAGATCCAAGAGAAAGTGGTGGGTGGAGTCAGAGGTAGTGAGACCATTTAGACTTCTGATCTGACTCTGACAAGAGAACACTGACTCGCACATGAAGAGAGCAGGCTTCAGTGACACTTTGTAAGCAGACTAGTTAGACTAGGACCTGGGATAGCGGAAAGACATGGTGGGAGTAGAGACAGAAAGTAGGGCTAAGGACTCAGACGAAAAATCCATCAAAAAGTAGAAGAGAGTTCTGCTTTAGGTCTGCTGGCACTTGGGCCAGCAAGGAGACACACAGCATGATGTTGCTGAGGTCCTGCACCAGACAATGGAACAGTGAAGAGACATGCCTTTTGGCTTCAGGGAACTGATGCCACTAAGGAACATAGGTGACTCTGTAAATGACTCAGCTCTCCAAGGATGGCTTAGAATGGATCCTGTCAGGAAGCTCAGAAGACCAACTTTGATCATCTGTATTTCTCCTCCCCAAAGTGGGCTCCTGAGGTGGGCTAGCCCTGCCTGGCATAAGGAGGGTTTTGTCTTCTGTATGGCAAGCTGCAGCGAGACTGAGCCTCCCTCAGGATATCTACTCAGAGCTGTAGAACGAGAGGGAAGCAGGCTTGTGAGGGCATGTAGTTCCCAGAGCTCTAAGACAGAAAGCCTCTGCTTATAAATTACCCAGCTTCCTCCTGGGTGAGACTGAGGAAACAGTCTAAAGTGACAAAAATATGCAAATGAGAATTAAGTCTCATTTTTAAAAACTTAGGAAGATGCTTCTAAATAACTTCTGTACAATACTATAAAGGAGACCCCAACGGCTTCAAACCACCATTTTTGGTTGCCTAATCCACTAGCAGAAAGCAGGCTTTCTACAGATGGCATTTCTTTGCTACAATTTGTTCAGCATCTCTCATATACTGATCCTAGATTTTAATTTGTACATATATGTGTGTATGTGTGTGCTAGTTAAGAAATCAGAAAGAAATTCATGAGAGGGGAAGAAAGCATGGGGGGGGGCAGGAAAATATAGTATTGGAATACATGTGGCCTGAAAGAGGGGCTATGGGGTGGGCAGCAGAGGAGGGGCAGTGGGTGGGAGAACGGGTGGGGAAGGAAGTCTCATAAGAACAAAGTACCTATGAAAATATCACTATGAATTATTTTGTACACTACCTTTATAAACTAGTATGTTTTTATTTAGCAAGTTGAAGGTCCTATCAACCCACAGTAGTCACTGATTCCATGGGACAGAGAGGGACAGAGGGAGGACGGAAGGAAAGGGAACAGCAGGTAAAGAGTTCCAGCAAAACTATCTCAGCTGGAGTGGGGAAGAATGTGAACCTCAAAGGGCCACAGAGGATAGGAGCCACGCCACATGGAGACAGCTGCCTCTGGAGAGCAGAGTCCTTTGGTGAGCAGAGTGAAGAGCCTATCACCACACATGCATTTCATCTCTCACAGGTCTGTGACACTCCCCTTTCCCAACTGCCCTTTCTCTTCCCCCAGAGCGGACACAAGGGCTGGCACAGCCCAATCCCCAGACAGGAGCCTGACAGTTACACAGGAAGTTACAAGCAAGTTATAGGCAAGATAGTCACACAGCTTAAGGTGTGTGGAAAGAAAGCAGGAAGAAGCTATCTTTATAGACCTCTGCTCTTCCTCTCCCCACCACACATGTATTCTTAAATAGAACATTCAGGAAGAGAAACACAAAAGAGTGAGCCCAACAGATGTGTGTCCAGAAAGACGAGCATTAAGTCTAAGATGGGCAGGGTTGACTTAGAAGCTGGGGCAGGTCTCCTTTGTTTTAAGATGACTATTTTCCAAATGGAGACTAGGTATCCTGATGAGAGATAAGGGTTGCAAGCCCCCCAAATCCAGATTAAAAGCCTTTGGTATTAGGAGATTTCCTGATCGTTAAAGCCAGTTCCTTTGTGAAAGCTGAAAATATACATATCCCCCTCCCCCCCATAAGCCCTTGCTGATTGCCTTTAGATTCTTGTAGAGTCTGCTTCTATAGCTGGTGGCTGATCTTCTTCCCCGGGATTCTAAGTGTAGGGCATGAAAACTAGAACTCTAATGAGCAGCATGGCCTATTGTCCTAATAAGGCCATCCTACAGGGGCAGACTATCTTGGGTTCTTCTTAGCTAGTATGAGGGGACAGGTTCAAATGGACAAAAAGCAAAACATTCCCATCACATTGATGAGGAGAAGCCAAATCTGTCCCAGCCCTTATATTCAACTCCAACCCCTGTTCCACAGAGGGAGTGAGTTAAATCACCTGGAGGGAACTTTTAGTCTACACTGCCCAGAAGGGATGCTCAAGACTTTGTGGGCCTCATGGCCTCAGACAATGCTCAAAACTTCGTGGGCCTCATGACCTCAGACCAACATGTCCACAGATGGTCTGGGGTGGGGATGATATGGTGGTATAATTTTTCTTACCCTTTCTGAGTTTCTGCACAGCCTAAGTTTTGATGACATCCGCAGGCTAAGTGTGTACACCAGGCTGAAAAATGGGGAGAGCCGTGTAATGCAGATGGAGAAAAAACACAGAGAAGCAGAGAGATGAGGCAGTGGCAGGGTGCAGGGTGAGGGATGGAGCAATGGAAAAGGGTCTAGACTGGAGGCCCTTCAGGCTTAGGAAAGTAGACTTATCACATGGGGACCTGGGAGACTGCGACAGTTAGGACCTGGCACCAGCAGACTGCCTAACAGACAGGAGACATGTCCCAGGCCGTCGGTCATAGCTCCCCTTTGCCTGTCTGGAAGGAGCAGCAAATTCAATGCTCTGGTCAGAAGACCTCATGGGTCTTCCCACAAGATGAGTCCTGGACCAAATCAGACCACCCCAGACACATGTGATAGGCACGTAAAATGACAACATTCACTATTTTTTAAAAGCTTTTTCAAAAATGGATGAATATTTGGCACTTGTAAACTGTGGTCATACATGGTTATATGAAAAAAGTAAAATTACTACATTGGTACCAAGCAAACTATTCATCTAGAAATAAATTTGTAATATAAAGATATTTAATCACTAGATCTTTACAATACTCTGGGTTTGCATGTTTTTCTTTTTAAATTGGTAAACTTTTCATTGGGTTTCAGCTTTGAAAGGGCAACTTTCCTAAGTTTCTTCACTGGCTTCTCTGAAAGGGGGAAAAGAATGTTGGAGAACAGGGTAGAAAGCTCAAAAGGAGAGGCACACTAGCTAGGCAGGCCTCTGCTCCTGCTCCTTTTTACCTTAGGTCTTTTTCCTCCTCCATTCACAGCTTAGGTCCTTTGTTTGTGTAACAGACCATTACAATCGTACCCTGTTCAATGGGGGAGGAATGTGAACTCTCTAAGTAGCTGTCCTAGCAATCCACATGTGTGGTCCCACCCCAGTCCAGCCCAGAGGCTCCATCTGCCCTTCTGAGGGCCTAGCGCCCCAACAGGTCAGGGCACCTTGCTTATAATAAGCCCAAGTTCCCACTGCGGCAGGCTGCTCCTTCCCAGGAGCCTAGAGCAATGTCTAAGCCTCCTTCCTTCCCTATTGTTTTATGTGTCCTGTCCTGGGCCTGTCCCCTTCAGCTCCTGAGACAGACGCCTCCTGGTATGCTGGCCCTTCCTGTCTTCAGCCTGTGGCTTCTCTACTGAATCCCGGGCAGACACATTCCAGATCTTCCTGGTTATCAACCCATCCTCTAAAGTCATGCGCACTATAAACAGAAGACACAAAGCAAGATTCCTCTTCTCAGTCCTCCTCAAACTAATTTTAACACCCAGGCCTTTGTCTGTCCCTGGTAGATAACACCAGCTCTCTCAGGATGAATTTCAATTTCTTGGTTAATGAATTGAAAAAATATTTAGTAACTGTATTTCCACAGGAATCAAAATAATGTTTAAAACAATGATAGTATTTCAAATGCGCTTATAAAGCCTTCTCATACTATTTAGTCTAATAGTTTCCTACGCAGGCCTCTGAAATGGTTAGAAAGGCATCAGTGACCACATTTGACACTCAGTAAACCCAATTTCACTGTTCTAATGAGCTACTGTAAGTAATGTATTGTACTAAGAAAGTGCCTAGTGCATGGTAAGAGCATGGGAAAGGTTAGCCTCCTGCCTTGTTACAGATGAGGAAAGTGATGAGCAGAGGCTGCTTCCAAGTGTCCTGAGCTAAGTCATGTGCTCTTCCCACCCACACAAGCTGTCTGAATGAGCAGAGCCCTTCAGCACTGACATTCAGTGGTTTTCAATCAACTTTCAGAATGGACAGTGGGCTCCCTCAACATGGCCTAATGTAGCCAGCCTCCTCCTCAGACTTATAGTACATTCTCTTCCACAAGGGAAGAGCAATCTGACACATTACACAGGTCTGTCATCAGAGGCAGCCTATGGGCTTTTCAATTGACAAGACTGTCAGCAGAAAGTGTCACAGACCTGCCAGATATGGCTAGGGCTGCTGACATGGATAGGAGGGGATAGAAGGATGGGGGATGAGGAAGGCAGGAGATGTGAAAAGTTGCTAATTGTGTAACTGGAGCCCTGAGATGTACAGTGTACTGATTCTTTAACAAAAGACAAAGGCATCTTAAAGTTGTACAGTTTGGGGGTGGGGAGAGGTATATATGCTCCGCTAGAACCTTCTTGAAGTATACAGAACCTCCATCATATCCCTGCCCATTTGCCATGTACTTCCAAGCAATTCTTATTAAACACACCCAACTAGAAATAATTTTGAAAGTTTCATACCTTCTGTGTCACCAGAAACGTCAACTGTGAGGTGGGTATGGGGTCCTCCAGAGTCTGTCTGAAGATTCAAACCTGTAAGAAGAGACCTTGGACATCCTCAGGGAAGGAAGCTAGGCTAGAACATTTCCCCATGATGCTGCCACCTAAACCTTCCACTGCATACACATGCCCCCCTGGTTTCCAATAGTGGAGGTTCCCTACTACTTTTTCAAGCATCTCACTAGGTGATTTTTATAGTATATCCTTTGTCATACTTGCAACTAGATTAGAACCCTCAAGTTGTTCCCTACTTTCTGCAAGTAGAAAAAAAAAGAACCTATGAAATTGCTTACATAAAATATTCAAAACAGTACTCAGAGGAAATGGTGTTTCTTTTAAAACAATATTAAAATGCCACAAAACAGGTATGCAAATATATGCAGTAACAACCTAAAACAAATTATGAATTGAAAGAAAGCAATAACTAGGAGCCATGCATCTTCCACAAAAGCTTCATGTAAACATAGATTTATCAAATTCGCAGGGCAAAAAGGCTGACATCTCTAAACTGAGTATGTAGTTAAGTGGGTACTAAACCTGGCTATGCAGTAGAATTATTGGAGAAATCTTAAAAAAAAAAAAAATGCAGAAGACTCCCAGACTGAAACAAGATGATTAGAGCCAAGAATTGATGTTTTCAGCAAGTCCTCAGGAGCCAGGTCCTCCTACCAATCTTGTACCACTGAACCCTGACACGCATCTAGAAACCCACACGCCTGTTCATCAATTTGTTATACAGCTTGGCCTTTTCTAACTAAGACTATTCTACCCAGCAATTGATCTTCATGGGGGTGGTATGGCTCCTGATTTTCTTAACCAGTATGAAAGTAATCTATTGTGAAACAAAACCAATTATATTTCACCTACATGGCTTGTTCACTTGGCTGCCTGTTTTCTTCTCTTAATTTTATTGTAAAGGCTATGTCCATTTATTTTGTACAAGAACAACTTTTTAAGTTAAAAATAGAAAACTGACAGCTTTCTTCAGACAAGTTTAAAAGCAATCCAATACACTCTAGGAAAAAAAACTGGAAGTGGGTAGGTGTTTGTCTGAATCCCTGTTTGTTTTCTTCCATCTGGTCCTTCTGCATGTGTAAACACACACCCTGTACATGATTCACCTTGGCTCCACATTTACTGTGGTCATTTAATTGTGTGGTCCCCAAAGGCTTAAATTTTTTTCCAAGAGATTTAAGACACATTAAAGCAAAAGAATAAAATTATTCTGGATGATTCTTCTGTGAGCCTGCCCATCTCCACAGTGGACAATACTGATTTATGTATTCAGAGAGGAGAGAAGGGGCTTCTGCTGCCCAGGAAGGGGCTTACAGACGTGAGGTACGCAAGCAGGCAGTAGGGTGGCTTGGTTTCATTGTCAAAATATTCAAATCATCATGAAGAGAGAGGATTCCTTTCTGTATTCCACAATACGTGGTCTCAGTAAACTCACACAGGAGATTATTCTTTAGCCCTGGAGTGTGAGCAGCAGCAGTAAAAGAGGGGATCCCTGGCAGGGAGGGGATCGAGTCCCTCAGCCTTTCCACCTGCCTCTCTCAGCACCAGTCTCTCACACAGAAAGAGAACAACTGGTGGGGGGGGGGGAACCCGATGCAGGCCTGACTGGGCTCAGGGGAGGATCCTATGTAATGTGTGACAGTGTAATGTAGTGGAGATGAGATCATCAAGAAAAATAACCCATCTCAGACAGGATGCTACTTGCAGACCGTTTTTCAGATCACGACTTAGATTTCAAAATCAAAGAGAATGGTTTTCAAATGTCAATTTTTTAAAAGCACATGGTAAGAATGACCCTATAAAATTAAACAATTCTATTTTCTGAGTTCCAGAGGAGGAGGAAAAAAAAATCACATTTTTTTTTTTTAAGGAAGGGAGTTTGGCACATTTGCTGAAACCCAAACTGAACAAAGGGATGTCTTCCAGTTTCCGATCATAGTACTTAAGTGAATTCTTCAGATTGACTTTTCTATTTCTAATGATTTGAGTGTGAATGAACCAAGCAACCCCCAACACCAGAAAATTGGCTTGGCTTTCAGTGATGGCTGTGTGTTAAGTACTTAACACCCTGAACAATCATAGGAGTAGAGGGTATTCCTGCTCTCTTAAGGACATATGAAGGCTTGGAAGTGTGCTAATTTGCCTGACCTGTAATGAGCAAGCATCTGGGGGGAGGGGGGAGGGGATCCAGTGTGTGTGTTCTGAAAGGCAGTCCCTTCCCTCTAACCTCCCAGCCTCTACAGTCAGGAATTCTGGAGTCACATCAGATTTTTCAGATGGCTTAAGCTGCATAGATCGTGTATTCTTATTGTCTCTCAAATCTGTTTCCTTCTCTCAGCTTTCATAGTTCCCTACTGTTCAGGCGCATCCTTCCTTTCCTGTGGTCACTAAATCAGCATGGTGAACAACTTGGGAATTTTACTTTGTCCTCCCAACAGCGTCCCCCTCGAGCTCATTTTAAAAGGAGGAAGGTTTCTAACCCTTTGTATTTCCTTCCAGCTGAAGGTATAGGAAGCCTAAAGTTTCTCTGTTAACATCTTAATCCCACTGCAGAAATTCTGCTGGGTGTGTAGAAACCGAGGATGGGAAGACGGATAAGAAAGTGAAAAGAAGACTTTCCTAGGAGAAGGCAACCTGGCTGCGCAGCAAGAGGGCCCTGCACTATAGGGCTGGGGTGGGATCTCTGTCTGGACAGCTGAGTGGGAGTGTCCATGCTGAGGAAGGGAGGCCAACTTCTACAAGGTCTCCAGCCTCCACTCCTGGTCCTGAGGCCAACAGCTGCAAGGCTTCAAGTCACCACTACTGTGATATATGGAAGGGCAGAGGCCAGGTCCTCACCTTCCAGGCGCCACTGAAATCTCTAGTTTTGAGGAAACGCCCTGCCAGTTAAAGGGAGGCATCTTTACCTAGTCTAGATGGCATTCTCTAGGTTGTTATTCTAGGGGCTAGAGTCTAAATAATGATGGCCCTGGGGAGTAATGATGTTGCTGACCTTGTGCAATGAGATTTGGATTTATGAGGGCCTGCTTTCTAACTTAGAATTGTGCCTCTCCTCTAGACTAACTAGGACCTCTGGAACTAAAACCAATCTGGTTTTTTTTTTTTTTCGGTCTTTTTGAGACGGTCTCCCTGCAGCGCCAGCTGCCCTGGAACTTACTATGTAGACCAGGCTGGTCTTGAGCTCACAAAGATCTGCCTGACTCTACTTCCCAAGTACTGGGATTAAAGGTGTACAGCACCGTGCCCAGCCAATCTATTAAAAAAAAAAAAAAAAAAAAGCCACCTGGGTTTGCAGAGAAGCACAGGCTCGGAAGGCACTGGAGACCCAGGGGGCTGTGGTACCCTGAGGCTGACAGAGCAGGAAGACTGGAAACAAGGGCAGATCAGAGTATACTCACAAGATTAATGCCTCTGAGTCCTATGCAAATACCTAGAAAGAGAAAGACACACAAAGTTCATTTAAGGTCTTTAAGTTCTGAATCGCTAAAAACAAACAAAAACCAAAGGGAAGGAGAGGTGGTCTACTTGGAAGAGGCAAGAGGTAGGCCAGAGTTACAGGAGGTTTGAGGTCCAGGAAACCTAGACAGGCCTCCTAGTCAACATGCTGGGACCGGGAGTGGCAGGCTGATTTCCCTAAAATGAAAATGATGGGAGCTAGAAGACAGGAGTTTGGGGGGAAGAGGAGATTCTCTCCCTCAGAAGAAGGAAATTAATCCTTGTGACAAGATGTGCTGATTCAAAGATGCTGCAGTAATGGTATGTACTGGAGATACTAACAACATGTTGGGGATGGGGGAGGGGGATGGGGTCCAACCTTGAGGCTGGTCATGCCCTCCAAGCAACTCCACTTCAATTCTATGACTGGATGTCTGGGACCTTTAGAAGAGGCTTATAAAAGTCTTGATAAAAACAGAAGAGGGTTTTGGATACGCCAAGGTACACCAGTCATAAGGGATTGAACAGAATGGCAGACATCAATAACCAAGGAACCCATTTGCTGGATAAATTAGCATTGTATTTTATTAAGTCTAAGGGGTATGTGGAGTGTGGGGCACACCTCATGGGAAGATGACCTAGGAGAGGAGGATTTCCCTAGGGAACAGGGACCATGTACAGGGCAGAGTTTGCCAAGATGATCTACTCAGTCAAAACCCCAGCGATCTGTTCTGTTCTGAAGAGGATGGGCTAGTTGTGCTAAACTGTACTCAAGAAGAGAACTCACAGTAAGGGTCATTGAGGTTGGGGGTGTTGGGCAAGTACTTTGATAAGCAGGATCACTCTGTTCATACAAGAGTCTAGCCTCTGTTCGTACTCACTTCCCTTGTCAAACCAGACCTATGGGGCCCAGAATAAAAAAGACAAAAAGCCTATTAGTGACACCCACACACCCACCCATATCCCTTAACAGGACAGCTACCTATAGGTACCTACAGCTACTTTCCCATCTGTGGTGCCCAAATCCTTGAGAAGAATGGGAAGGACGCTAAAGAAAGTGCCAGTTGACTGTATTGGCCCAAACTGAACTTTCCCGTGGCTTCCTTGAAATGCCCCACCAGCCTGGTGAGCAAGAAGCCAGGAGTCAGGTCTGGGGAGACTGAGATCCACACTGGTCTCTGTGTTCTCGGACTGGTTCCCTGTCATTCTAATCACAATGCTCCTGTCAGAGTGATTCTTCTAATATGCAAATATGTTCCTGTCACTTGACTGTTCGGAATTCCTCAAAGGTCCCATTAGTTTCTGTCAACTGCAACCAAGAGGCCTGTCTAATCAGAACCACTGAAAGTTTTTAATCAGGAGAATAGTATGGTCAGGCTTTTACAGAAAGAGACCACAGAATATAGGCATGAGATTATTTTCTTGGATTGATCATTCATATACATTAAAACAGGTAAACAGCATTGTCATAGGGAAGGGAAAAAAAAAAAAACAAAAAAAACCACACTACCACCAACAAAAGCCTGCACAAAAGAAAAATATGCAATTTCTCTATAAAGGCACCCACCCATATCCCTTAACAGGACAGCTACCTACAGGTACCTACAGCTACTTTTCCATTCTAAATCTTCCTGAATCAGAACCAGCAACTCCACTATGCACTGGATAGGCCAAGCAAGAGCCGTTTTAGGAAAACAGCATAAACGGACTGTGATCTTAATGTGGTTCCAATTTACATGGTGATGGTGTGTGCATTTTATGAATCACTTTTAATTCCTCTGCTAAAGCAAAAAGGAAAAAATTTACCTTGGTAAACACTACATAATGGATCAATTAAGTTATTCCCCCAATAAAATATGTCTGTTACAGAACAACTATGCATAATTTCCAGTGTTATTTTAAACACTGATAGAGAAATGTGCTTCATTTCCATTGCTAATTTTAAGGCTATTTAACACTACCCTCTCATGATGCCCACTACCTTCCTTTTTAATTGCTAATGGGGAAGGGAAGTAGCTTTAATGATACTCTTTAGGTAATCATTTTTCTTACTCAAAATTGATACAATAATTATTTTATTCTACGTCATTCCACTATATCGGGCGCATACCCCAGCTGAGCATACTAAGTCGTGCTCCTAAGGCTGAAGAACTAACCAAATAGTGATGTTCCTGTATCTACTCCAAGAGTGGAGTGTACCAGAAACAGCAGTTGCCTTCGACTTGGATAGTTCTAGGTCTGAATGTTGGCTCTGCTATTTGGAACTTGTATAACCTTAGCTGAGCCACATAAGCCCTTTAAGACTGAGTCTTCCCAGTTATAACATACGGCTATCTGCTTTTGCAGAGGCACTATCATACATATTATGTGGATCTCAAGGCACAATGGAGATTACAGAGTCCAAAATGCAGGTGATCTGTGATTTTAAAGTGTCAATAATGAGCTTATACAGCGGGTAAGCTCTCAACTGGGAGGCACTAATAACTTCTTTGCGTACAATACACACAGCAGAAAGTGCAAATGTAATTGATTCACTTCAGAGTTCAGACACCTTTCTTCAATGTGGATCACCAGCCCATCATGTGTCATACATTGTGAAGATTCCTAAATAAGTAATGTAACAGTAATGTTGCTTTTTTTAAATTTTTATTTTATGTGTATGAGTGTATTGCCTGCATGTATGTGAGTGCACCTGTGTCGTGCAATGCCTGCGGAGGACAAAAGAGGCTGTCAGAACCCCTGGAACTGGAGTTACAGTTGTTAGCTGCCATGTGGGTGCTGGGATTTGAACCCGGGTCTTCTGCAAGAACAACCAGTGTTCTTAACCGTTGAGCCATCTCTCCAACCCCATGCTATGCTTTTTAATGCAACATCATGTTCAATGACAGAGACCAATTACAAATGGGTCTTACAAGCATCACTAAGTTACCCAAAAGATATACTGAAGAATTCAGGCAGGCGCTTTTGGATTTTGCTTACTTTTCCCTCCTGAATATGGTGGTGGTAAAGCAGACAAGTTGCAATTTGAATGGTCTAGAGAACAGGAACTTAAGTGGCACACCTAACACTTTCCTCCACTGGCTTTTACTGAGGCATGTGGAAGTTAGCCTCCAAGGGCAGAGAAGAAACTGGCAAGTGGTTCATCTCTAGTGAGTTTAGGAGGGAGAAAATAAAATGTAAGATGGATTGAGCAAAGTCTAAAAAAAAAAATTGGCATCACTGTCAAGGATATTTTGCAAAAATATAAAATATGTGTGTGGAAAGAGGCCAAGAGTTATGGTTAAGCAGCAGCCCAAAAGCTGCAGAAGAAGGAGAAGGCTGCTTTAGGGTGAAGTGGGTTGGACAGAGAACTAACACATGTTAAGGGGGGAGAACCCACAAAAATGTTGGATAGGAAATCTAAGGTTGGAATCAAGGATCATTATCTTGAAATGAGTGAATAAAGTCAATATGATCTCCACATGAAAGAAGGAAAATAAGAAATAGAACCTTCTGATATACACCAAGGACCCCGACAAACATGGATTTCTTCATATAAACACTGACCTATTTCACAACTTTAGGAAATCTGCATATAATATTTGCAATGCAGAATCCTTCTCCACTGGGAGGCGGGGTAGATAGATGATTTACAACCTCAGATAATGTTACACATCAGATATGTGATTCTAAGTAGAGGATAACATCCCAAACTTTCTCCTAGTATTCCTTTCTTTTTAAGATAACAACCATTTTAAAACATCTTTAAAAAATACCAGGGAGAAGACCACGAAGTTTGAGTAAGCAAGTCATGATATATAAAAGTCAGCTGTGTGGTATTCATATTTCTAATTTATTATGAATAAACAGAAGTAATGCTCTTTGCATGGTTTCTTGGTTTTTTGTTGTTATAATTTAGAAAAAAAAAAAAAAAAAAGAGTTTCCAAAGTTCCCAATTTCAGTTTCTCCTCAAAGCCTGGAGTTCCTCAAATACAAATTCTCTGGCAGCTAATGTTTTCTGGAATGTTATGACAACCCCTTCTACTGTGTGAGAGGTGGAAGGCTTTGGTGTGGGCTTCAGTACAGACAGAAAACAAGAACAGAGTAAAGACTGACCACAGGCAAGCTGAGCGGGCAGACATCAGATGGCTTAGTGAGGACACATTTACCTTTCTGTGTGAGGTACAGATGAGACTCAGATGACACCCAAGTCAGAGGCCATGTCAGGAAGGACAGCAACCTTAGCGGGGACACATAATTGAAAAGTCAGAAAAGGCATTTAGGGGAAATGGCAATGGTATGCTATGAGTAGATCTAAGTATGAAGAACATGAGCTCAGGGATGTCAGGGATGTCTCTGTCACATGTCATCCTGCCACATTCCAATAGCACACCAGTCAGCCCTCAAAGTGTTCTTTGGCTTAGAGTGGCAATAAGCAATGCAGTTAAGAACACAATTGTAAGCATCAGAGGGTAGACCTTCAAATCCCAGTGTCTCCTGGAGCCACTCAGAAACCTCATGTAGTCTGCTTAATCTCCTCCTACACATTAAGGAAAAACTCCTTGTGGTCAAGAGGATAGACTCTCTGGCCTGGGTGGAGACCAAACATTCCAGTGGGGCCTGGCCAAACGACCACCCCTAGGAAGACAGGTTTACCTTAAGCCAAGCTAACGACATAGGCAGAATAATTAATCCTGTAATGAGATAATGTACTTTTCCTTCCCAGAATCCTGCCCCTAGCCCTAGCACAGCAGCACACTGAGCCATACCCTTGCAGCTCTATGACTGTTACTTATTTTTCTAAATAATTCAGAAAAGCATTAACTTCTCCTTTTCTTCTTTCTACTGCATTTCTAAACATGTTTGCCCTAACATATTGGGCTTCCCTGATATTCTGGACTTCCTTAGTCTCTCTCTAAAACTCCTTCCCCCAATGGAGCTGCTTCTCCACCATGGGTCTGACCTCCATGCCATCTTAAACAGCCTGCCTTTTTCCCTTCTCTCCTCCATTCTCCTCCTCTGGGCAGCTGCTGAGATTTACTGCCTGCTGGTCCTGGGGCTATTTCATTTAAACCCCAATAAAATTGTTCTCAAGCTTCCATTTGAGTTCATCCTTAAATTCTTTTATTAATGAGACTAAGAACCCCAAGAAGGGACCCCAACTTCCCCTGTATCACCTTGAGCAGAGATGAGAAGCTAACCCAATTCTTTTTAGAGTGTTCATGAAGGAAGACTACCATCCTTGGGGAAAACAAATACCTAAGCAGAGCTGAGGAGGGTCCTGGGGGTGAATATGGGACGGCTCCTATGGAACTCAATGCAAACTATCAAACACAAAGCACCTGCCTTTGCATAATTTCTTTTTTTTGACCCAAGGCATAATTAGTACTATTGAGAGCACAGGACTCGACCTTAAGCCTGCCCAACAATTTACCTCGATAGAAGGAACAGGATGGAGATAGAATGGCAATTAAATAGAAAGCAGTAGAATTTTTGAAGACAGAGAAGGATTTTAATATGCTTCTTTGAAGAAATAAATGAAGACAAGAAATAGATCAATATCAACGCAGACCCATCAACCTTCACCTTACAGACAGAAATCCATTACTGCCAGCAGTCCGGTCTAATTGGAGGAATGTTGGAGGACCCACCATACATGCCTCCACATTTACAAAGACTTTGAAGGCTCTTAGTTTTTGTGTTTTAACAGCAAAACCTTAACTAATTTGAATTCTACCAATATTACAAGTATAACAATCCTGATATGGCTGAGTTAAGGATATTTTTCTCTTGAGGTCTTGCATTGCTGAAAAAATGTGTTACTACTCATTAAGAGTAACAATAAGGAATGTTTCAAAATAAACTAAATATTTTAACAGCCTCATTAATATACTGATTAAATAATCAGGAATGGAGTTATTGCAAAAGATCATATTAGTAGCATCTGACTTTAGATATAACCTTAAGTAATTTTATATTTCAGGATAGCTTTCTTGCAATTCAAGCAAGTAGGGAAAGAATAATTCTCATTTTCAATGACTCCATAAGGCTTATTAGACACTATTTTGTTGGGTCAGTCTTGATGGATGAGAAGCCATTTCACAGGGAAGAAATGTTTCTTTCTACCAAGGATTGGCTTATTCACACAAACACAAGTGTAAGCACATAGACCAAAGATGTGTTGATCCCCAAACCTATTTTGAAGAGATAACTCTTAAATTACTTGAAATTATTCTTGAATGTTAGAGAAGTCTTTGGGCTGAGGGGAAAAAAAGGCTCTTTTATGGAGAACACCATAGTTGAAGTTATCTGATTCTATAAACGCAGCAAGCACACAACTGTTAATGAAAATCACTTCTTTGGCTGTATGTAGTCCTATCGAAGCAGACAAAGGTTTGTGCTACTGAAATCTGAAATATCACATGGAAAACTGAAGCTTGACTTCCTAACTTTCTCTACTCTTCTGCCTTTCCCTACCTGGTATGATGTCACAGGAACTTACTTCCAGAAAGTGGGAGGACTGAGCAGTCAAGTTATAAAACCTAAGTGCATAATGCTTTCTTATCTACAAGTGATAATTAAGAAGGTCAGAGTCTACCAATGATTTGGTATTCTTGTTTCAGACGAAATCTAAAACCTCAGCTACAGCCCAGCCTGCTGAACCCACCACATTTGTATAAACCCATACCAACGCTCATCTCTCTTCAGAATTCCCACCACAACCACCACATCCAGCTTTATCCCATCTTGATCACTAAATTTAGTTAAATGGAAATCTAAGAACTCTTAATTAAGAGCTTTTTCATCTTATTAATGAAAATATCTGAACATCACACTGAGGATATTGTTAGGAAAGGATAAGACCAGCGAGGTTGGGGCCCCAAAAGGCCCTTCGCTTTTACCGGAGCCTCTTAGAGAGGCTGATGGAGCCCTATAAACTCATTAAAGAAGGAAAAAAAACAGTGTTTGATAATTCTCCATAAAGATTTTTTTAAAAGCAATAGCACTGATTACATAACAACAGACCAATCAAGTTTTCCTAAAATTTAGTATTTGCTGTTGAAGCCTGGATAAGTAATTGCATTCAGAGGACTGTACAGGGAACCATCAATCCCCATTCATTCTGCTGCATTTACTAAGCCAAGAGCTTTGTGAAGTTTGGAGATATAAAAATGAATATGGCACAGCTGCTTTCCTTCTAGCTAAAAGAATACACCTAAACAAAGAGCTATGGGGATGTGTGTGCTATAATTGAGGTGTGCACAAAGTGTTGGGGGCCAAAGGAAAAGCCATAAATTCTTCCTGGGAAACCAAGCAAGGGGAGACGTCAAAGAATGGATAGCGATATGTCCTTGTGATAAACTGGACATTTGTCTTTACTGTATTCTAAAAAGGAAGATGGTAAATGTAGGATTTATGAACTATGGTATTTCCAGTCACTACCTGAGCCTGTTAGCCAGTTCATTTACACTTAACACAGACTTCCATTTACAATATTCCAAGAGTATGAAAATGTTTTAAATGTATTATCATACTGTTCCTATAAAATGCACATAATATGGAAGGTCATGAATCACTGGCATGAAAGATCTCAAGTTCAAAGATATTTTGTAGCAAATGAAGGACACGTTCTAGAGAATTCACATTATATTAATACTTTTTCTTAAAGAAAAAATAAAAATATCACCTGATTATATCATGGTCCACATTTGTCTTTATGTCTGTTTAAAAAGAAGGGGGTGTTGAAGAATGGCTACTTACCATCATTTATTATGCATACCATATTCCTACTTATAGCACAGTTGTGACAAAACCTCTATTGTTCATTGCACTCTAGCCCCAAACTTGAGTCATTCTAATGTAAGCATGAGAAACTCCGGACTCCTTTGGGGTGAATTTCCAAATTCCTCTGTGTTAAATTGAGGTCTAATTTTCCCTGTGCCTGGTTTTCACAAGAAGGTCCCTTCCACCCCATGTGCTCCCTTTCAGCTGTCAATAAACAGAGGCAGTGAATTCCCCAGGCTTCACAAAGCTAGTTAGGCAGAACCATTCATTCCTTCAGGAAAACAGGGCATTGATTTCAGCGAGTTCCCAGGGAGCAACTCCAACAAAGAGATCAAAGGCCCACCTCTCTCTCCCCCCAATGCTTTCATTAGGCCCAGCCCAGACAAACAGCCACAGGTCTCCTTGAGACCAGGAGAGGGCCTGGCAGACCACCTCATGGTTCAATTCAAATTCATCTGTTTCCTACATTCCAGTGACAGTCCAGAATGCTAACCATGACAAACCAGCACAATCGCCCAGCATAATATACTGCTCACTAGTTCATCCAAGGTCAGAGGGAGAAAACAAACGCTGAGGGAAGTCCTTGGCTTCTAGGGCCCTGCTGAGGCTCAATGGCCCCCTGACATTCCATAAATAAATGTCTCCCTCTCACCCTCCCTTTCTTTCTCCTTCCTGAATCCTCAGGAGTGATGGTCTCACTTAACAACTTGCAATTTCTTTCGTGACATTGAACCCGAACTATCTGGAAACTTTATTCCCAGTCTAACAGTTGTAAGGGTGCAGGTTGATGGCCCCACCTATGGCCCTGATCAGTCCACTCCTGTGTCACAGCTGAGCTGTTATACCCTGCAAGGTCCTGCTGCTCCTTCAACTGAAAGCTGTCATTTCTAGTCTTTCCGGAAGGCGTGATCTTCAAGGAAGTCCACACAACTTAAAGAGGGAGTTTGGTTTGTGTAAATTCTGTTTGCAAAGCAGAAATGGATCAGAGATGAACAGTTAGCTTTTTTTCTTTGATCCAGGGAATCACCCAAGCTGGGTAACCAGGTCCAAAATAACCCTAAATAACAGTCTGTGTGTGAAGGAGCGTTTGTGTCTTTGTGGAGGAGAAGAGGGCTAGCCAGGGTGTGAGCCAGAGGGAGTTTGAAAGAAAATGTGTCTTCCCAAGGAGTTACCTACACTGGAAAAACATAATTAAAAGGCTTCCAAACTCGCCCTTGAATTCAGAACTGGTCCTTTGGCACAACCCTCACAAAACCCTGTAATGAAATGTGTTCGTTTCATTGTGGTCCACTCCAAGTCTGTCACTCATCCTGAGTAAGCATGTGGATAGGTGGGCTGTCTTTCAAAATTCCTAGACCCTAAAGAAAATAAACAAGATTGGAATGAAAGGTATGGAGAACCCATTTCTTGATGCAGAACACAACCTTCCTGCACGTCCCTTAGCAGGCTTCAGTA